GGCAGGACTGTGGCCCTGTGGGAAGGCCACGTTGGCAGGAGCCAGTGGGCAGGGAGTCAGGTGGAGCGCGGGGGAGCCCTTTCCACGACGCTGTGCAAACCTAGGGAGGTGCGTGGCGGAGTGCGCCCCAAGGGAACCAGGCACTCCTGAGCGATCCCGTGTCAGACTGGCTCATCACGGTCCCCGGTGCACTGCGGAGGCGCCCGAAGATGACTCAGGAGACCCAGGGTGGGGGGAGGGGAGGCATGGAAACCGTAGTTTTGTTCAGAGTTTCTGTAAAAACTGTTTTTAAAAAATAAAGCCTGCTGGGCACGGTGGCACACGCCTGTGATCCCAGTGGCTCGGGAGGCTGAGGCAGGAGGATCCTGAGTTCAAAGCCAGCCTCAGCAAAAGCGAGGCGCTAAGCAACTCAGTGAGACCCTGTCTCTAAATAAAACACAAAACAGGGTTGGGGGTGTGGCTCAGTGGTCAAGTGCCCCTGAGTTCTATCCCTGGTACCAAAAATAATAATAATAATAATTAAAATTTTTAAAAAGCCTATTAACTTAATAAAGATGTCCCAAGAAGGCTAGTGGAAAGGAAAGGCCACGGTGGCCCACTTGGGGACAGGAAGCCCCAGCTTGGACAGAGAGGGGCCAGGAGGAAGGATGGGCAGCACAGTGTGGGAGAGCGAGCAGAGCAGGGCCTGGCAGCGGGTCCTCGGGAAGCCTGGGCTGAGCGCCTGCAGAGGTTGGCTGAGGTGAGGCCGTGGAGGGGGAAGCTGGGAGGGGGCCCATGTGGCCACCACAAAGGGAAGCGGTGATGGCCCTGGGACCCTCAGGCTCCTGCCGTGGCCCCTGGGGCCACCCGAGGGGCGCAGAGCAGGGCCTGCCTGGGTAGCACCCTCTGGGACAAGCAGAGGACTGGCAGCTGTCCCTCCCACAAGCTTTCCTTCCTGAGACTAAATGCACAGGACACGATCCGGTGGGGCCCCAGCCCGCCCCCTCTGATCCCCGACACAGGGACTGAAGCCCTGTTTTCACGGCTGAATTCCACGGGGCGAGCGGCAGCAGGGCTGGGACACCTGCCCACCGCAGTGTGAGGCCGGCCCTGCAGGCCCTGAGGCTGTCTGCACTCAGATGCCAGTTCCCAGGAGGGAGCCTCCGCGGGTCAGGGTGAGTGACCGTGAGCCCCCTGCTCATCGCAGACGCCCAGGAGAACCAGTGTGACAAAGCCGTGGCAGCAGGGTCCAGCCGTGGCCTGCTGCCTCCTCTGCCCTCGGGGCCTGGAAACGCCACGGAAGCCCAGGCCGAGGTGGGCCGGGCTGGCCTCTGGACCTTGCTGAGAGCCGCCCTCGCCCCAGGTGGCTCATGTATTCAGAGGCAGGTGTCCAGTGCCCACGCTGTGCCAGAGGTGGAGGGAGCACTTATGTGGTCACTTCTGATGCCAAGATGGTGGGGTGTCGAGAGGGAGGTGACCGACTCTTCACCCCTCTCCATGACAGGCCTTAGAGCCAGCCAGACAGAAGGTGGGGACATTATTCGACTTTTTACTCTGAATAATTCTTTTAGACTTTAAAAAAGGCTGCCCTCAGGGTGTGGAGATGGCTTGTTCCCCC